CTTATTAAATAGCTCAAGATATATAACATACTACTATGATGAAAAATTAAGATGGACACCTTTAAAAGAAGACAACTGGGAAACCAAACAGATACATGAAGTACAAGGAAGTATACAAGAAAGCACCAAGTGAAGAAGTGAAAAAAGTCTAGGAAAAATGAAAGAAACTAAGTTAGATTTAGTAGAAGAGAGCTCTAAGTACATACAAAAAAGATCTTAATTCAAAGCAAGGAAAGAAGAAATTCGAGAAGGCTAAACAAGTAAAGAGTCACAAGTAGAGTTAGTAAAGTTCCTAGGTTTAGAACCTAAAAACCTAGTTTTGAAACCTAGTTTTTAAAAACCAGGTTTTAATTTTAAAACCTAGGTTTTTAGATTCATAATAGGTTTTTAGATTTGAATAGATTATTAGGTTCGTAATAAGTTTTTAGATTCATAATAGGTTTTTAAGTTTGTAATAGATTTTTAGATTATATAGTATATATTTATAATATATATATATATATATATATTAATTTTTTTTTACTTGTATATTTTCATATTGCTCTTGTATATTCATATTCATATATAATACCAGATATCTTTATTTAACAGTTAATATACTGTATACTCATATACATATATATATAGCTACTGGCTACTGTATATCTGATATGCATTTTAACTAATACAAATATAGAAATAAGTACTTAAATAATGACAATACTATATTAGAGTTAATACTTTAATCTGAATTTATTTTATATCCAGATATATCCAGATATAATTACTATATTTTACATAAATTTTTAACAAAATATCAATTCAAATTGAAGTATTAATTCTATGCTATATACTGATACCGTTATTTAGATTTTATATTATTGTTATTATTATATACTAGAGAGATAATAAGGTTAGCTTATTTTTATAAATTGTGATAGCAAAAAGATAAAATATTATTTGGCTATTTTGCACATTCTATCTTTTAGCTTTCAGCATATATACTAATAATAAAATTCATAGATACTATATATAATTTCTATTAGTATACTTTCTTGTTCTCTATTTAGAGAAATTTACAGAATAAGAAAAATCTATACTAGTACAATTAGGTATATAAGCTTTGTAATCATCTATTCTTTGTTACATAAAAAAAACTGATTCTTTTGTCAATCATAATTATTTTAGCAATTACTCAAAGCTAAATGCATGCATAATGTTCATTTACTCAATATTTAATTGTTTCACTTATCTTTTGAGTAAGTTCTTGAAAAATTGAATTGATTATGAAAAAGGCATTCATAATGAATATCAGGTGCATATTAGGAGACAGGTTTTCTGTTATATCTGCTATAGATTCACTAAATACCTGCAGCATATTGATAAGATATCAAGAGGTAAATTGATATCAGCAAAATATTGGTATATCCTAATATCTTTTAGGCTCAGAGTACTAAGAGTAAGATATAAGATCCTAATATTGTGCTGTTATATTACTGATATCAATCTAACTCACAATATCTTACTAATATGCTGCCAATATGCTGCTAATATTCAGCAGACTATTAGATATATAACAGAAAACTTGTCTTCTGGTATGCATCTGATATTCATAATGATTATAAATTGATTCTTATAGCATATAGTACAATTGTTTTTTAATTATAATTTATATTAGTATATATGGTTAGACCTCTCTAAATACATAATGTAAAGATCATATATACATTTAGAGAACAATAAGCTATGTATCTATAAGATCAAAAATATGTTTAGTTCAGAATTTAAAGCGTATTTAAAGAAATATGTACTCAATAAGAGTGTACTTAGAGAGGTCTTACACATATATATATATATTATAAAAGTCAAATTAAGAACAACTTAATACCATATCATTAAATATGAATTCTGAACAAGATTCTGATTATAATTATGAAGGTTATGAAGGTTATGAATATTATAATGATGATTATGATTATGATGATTATATTCTATACAGTGAACTACTATCTTCACTATTAGAAATAAATACTAGTTCACCACCTTCAATGTTAGAGATAAATACTAGTTCACCAACATCAATATCAGAACCAAATACTTTAATATTAGAAACTAATACTATATTACCCTCAATACAAGAAACAGATATAATTTTATCAAACAAGCTATCACTTTTATAGTAGCATTTTTTTTTTATTGTAAAAAACCAAATAACTCGATTTGCTTTAAATGTAAAGTTGAATTTTCAGAAAGATCTAGAAATTCAACTTTGGAAGGTTATTTAAAAAGCCAACATAATATTATAATTCTGTAAATAAAAACTTAATCAAAACTAGTATTTACCCATAAAGATCCATGGCCTAAAAAGCAAAAAAAAGAATGTAATATAGTTTTAATTAGTTAGATAATTTTGGATCAGCAATTATTTTATGTTATTAAAAATAAAAAATTTATTAAAATAATAGATATCTTAGATCCATGATACAAAGTTCCTAATCATCATCAAGTCAAAGATATAGTTATAAGCTATTTCAATAAACAAAGAACTAAAATAACTAATGTTTTATCTGAAATTTTAGGAAAAGTTTCTTTGACAGCAGATATGTGGTTATCAACTATAAATAACCAAACATTTCTTAGAATTACTATTCACTATGTCAATTAAGATTGGAAATTTTATTAATTTCTATTAGATATCATCTCTTTTACTATACATCATACAGGAGTAAATATAGCAACTACAATTAATAATCTTCTTGTAGAATTTAATCTTACAAATAAAGTATTAGCTCTTACTACTGATAATGTACTGGCAATATTAGTTTGTGGAAAAATCTTAGCAGATAGTCTACATAGAGAATTGAATAATTAGATCTTTTGCCATTATAAATGTACTGCACATATTCTAAATTTAGCTACATATCATAGCTTAGAGGTTATTGAGCAAGAAATTGCTAGTATTTGATTATTAATATTAAAAATTAAATTATTGATAAACTTATATGATGAATTACGAGATCTGTGTAGTGTACAAAAGCTAGATTATTTAAAGCCAGAACTAGATATTGTAACAAGATAGAATAGCATATATTATATGTTAAAAAAAATAGTCAGAATGCAAACAGCTTTACGAAGGTTAGCTGTTAACTATTATGATATTCAAAAATTAATGCCTACAACAAAAATATGGGAGAAAATTAAGGTAAAAATGTATTAGCATTTTCAAAAATTATTTACCACTTATGTGATATATATATTTTAACTTAGGAAATACTTATCTTAATGAAGCTACTAGAAAAGGCTACAAAATTATTATCCACATCTTTATACCTGACTATTGCAGATATTTGATTCATATTTAGTAGTATCTAAGTATATTTTCAAAATTATATAAATGATGATAACTTTAGTCAATATCTTCTAGCCTCATCAATTAGTTAAAAAATTAAAGAATGTGAAACTATAATTAATAATGCAATGACTATCACAACAATTCTTAACCTACAAACTAAACTTTTATTGTTTGAGATAGGAACCCAAACTACTGAAGTGATTAATAAAATCAGAGAAGTATTTGATCAATATATTACTACATCTAATAAATTAACAAATATTCTATCTAACAGAGTAAAGGATGATATTATTACAATACGGAATTACTTTTGTAAAATTAAATGACATCATGAATTAATTTCTGTAATAAATTAGAATGCTACAGATAAATTAAAATGATACTTAGCCTTGCCTTGTGATGAGAATATCACTTCTCTGTTGTAGTAGCAAGCATATTTGAAAGAATTTCTGATATTAGCTTGTATAGCTAAAGATTACTTGTCAATTCAAGCAACTAGCATCGCTTGCAAATAAGCTTTCTCAGTAGCAGCTAACACCATATTATGATCTCGAAACAGACTTGATCTAAAAAATTAAAGAGTATCATTGTGTACTAAAAGTTGAATTGAGAATGAAGTAGTTGTAGAAAAAATGGTCAGCATTTAATTTAAAATTTAATACAAAAAAAAAAAAAAAGAATTAATTAATATAATATCTTTTTATTAGGCTAAATCTGTTTGAATTAAACCAGAAATAAGGATTAATTTATTTTTTTCAATAGAAAATGGGGTAATTTAAAGTTTTATTTACTTTTTTTTTTTCTGTATATTATTAGATCACATAAAAAATTAGGCGTAGTTTGTTTTTGATAATTTTTTTGAAATATTTTATTTTATAAATGAATATAAAATTATTATACGGAATACAATTGAATTAGCATAAATTGAATAAATTTTTATTCATTAGATTTTATTCAAATAAATATTTAAATAATTAAATAAGTGGGATAGTTGACTTTTATAATCTATTAACCCTCAATTTTTTTTTACTTATTCTATAGTTTCAAACTCTGATCTATTGATTTATAATCCAAATCATAATTACATATAGTGAGATCTTTCTAAACATAGCTTCTTTAAGTATATAATCCCTTTGAATGCACTCTTAACTAGAGTTAATACTACAATCTGAATTATGATATTTTTATTATAGTATAAATTCGGATTGAAGTATTAACTCTATGCTCAACTTCTGGCCAAGAAGGTCTAACTATATTTGAATTATCATTATAATAGGATTTGGATTATTTAATTATTTAAATATGCTAAAGATTGTTTAAAGACTAACATTTTATATTTGAATCTTACAAGATAACATTTATATAATTAGTCAATTTTAAAAAGATTTATCAGTTATCATTTTAATATACTACTAGAAAATAAAAAGAACTTCACTTAAAGAAGCTTATAAACTATTTATTATATTTGAAAAGTAATTTTGCCTTATTTTAGTTATATGTAGTGACCTTTATTAAAAATACAACATATTATTGATCTGCTACTTAAGTTACTCAGGTAATTAATTTGCATTAGCTAATCTAAAAAAAGTTATTCTATAAATTTGGAACTTAACCCAAACCAAACCAGGTTCCAGAACTAGATTTTGAAACTTAGTTTAACCAAACCAGATTCCAAAACCAAGTTTTTGAAACTTAGTTTAAACCAAACCAGGTTTGAAACCTAGTTTTTAGAATCTAAAAGTTTTAAAACCAAAATCGAACCTAAACTAAACCTAAACTAATTTAGCTAGAATCTAGGTTCTGACTAGGTTTTAAAATCTAAGAAAAACTTGGTTAACTAGGTTCTTAAAATAGAACCTAAAGGTTTTAAAACCAAAACCAAACCTAAACCAACTTTACTAATCCTAGTCGCAAAGAAACAAATAGAAAAAGTACAAAACTCTAAGAATAGAAAGAAGTAATAGCAATGAAAGCAGTAATAGTACAGAAGAAAGAAAATACAAAGAGGCCCAAAGTTTCAAGACAAAAAAGAAAGAAGAAGTCAATATACAAAAAGGAAATCAAACTGCAGAAAAAGAAAAACTGAAATGAGTAGCCTCAGAGGTTTATTTAAGAACCTCTTAGCTTTAACTAAAGAGGAAGATACAAGATCTAGCTCAGAAGGTAGCTACTGAGACTCTAGAGTTTCAAATCACTTCTAAATAGTTGTACCAGTTAATTTACAGAGAGTTCAGATTTCTCAAGAAAGAAAACTTAGAAATCAGAAAAGAGCAAGAGAGACAGAAAACCAATTCAACTTGAGTGAAAATAAAGACTTCAGAACTCTAAAGTTGGATATACATAATATCAATGGTCTTAAAACAAGTAGTCATAAGCTTAACTTGCTATTAGAATAGGCAAAAGAAGAAAATGTTGATATCCTAGGAATATATGAAACAAATATTTCAGAGCTACAAGGCTAATTCCTAATTCCAAAAGATAGAAGATATATAGGGTTCTAGACAAATACAAATATAAACAAATTTATATATACAGCAACTCTTCTTGTTGATCCTTTGACCACTTTTTTTACAAATAATCTGACTTGCAAAAAATATTTCTGCTATAACAGATAACAATATTCTTCTCCTTAGGTTTTCTATGACATATCATAAGTGAATAATTCTCTTGTGTGAGCTTTTTTTAGCTACGTTATTTGGATATAACTTCTGAATACTATAGAAAAGTAGTAGATATAAGAAAAATTATCAAATACCTCTGTTGTTCTAAGTGATGCTTACTAGTAGTCTGCTAGCACAGGAATAGCTAGTGCAACAAGTATTTGTACTATTTTTAGTAAGAAAATAAGTAGCAAAATCTTACTTTTCTAAAAATAGCCTCTTCTGATATCGTCTTTTGGATTTTTTTTCTAACTCATTAGTATTTTTTAGGGGATTTGGCTTACTCCCTCTAAAAGATCTGCAACATGCATCAACAAAAACAATTAGATATTGGCCTGTTGTTTCTTATGCCGTAAACAAATAACAAACACGTGTTAGACCAAATATGTATTATAGGAAACCTGAGTTGTTGATATTCTCTCTGTAATACAGTATCTTACTCCTTTGAAAATTTAAAGAATAACTTAAATATTATATATATATAATTTTTATACTGTTCCAGGAGGAACATTAGACTCTTTTTGTTTTTGTTTTTGTTGTTTAAAGGTTTTTACCTGTTAGCAGATTTTCTTTATTCAACTATATTATATGATATGTGACCTTTATATCTTTCATTATATATATAATTTTTATTTTCTTTCTTTGTGATCTACTCACCTTAGATCAGTTTGGTACAGAATAGGAGGTGACCAAGAGGTTCTTGACTAGGCTATCAGCAGACTATCAAGGAATTAGATTGTTTTGTACATTAAGCACGAGGTTTTTCGAGAAGTAAACTTGCTAATGAATCAATCATACTTAGGGCTATATAGGTATCTGAGTAAATCTAGAATTGCAATAATCATTCACTATGTATATTTAGTTGAGTTCATTTATATTAGTAATAGTTACTCATATTATAATATAAAGGTAAAGTTTCTAGTATATTTAGTTTAGCTTTCGTGTTTACATATATAGTTTAGCTAGTATGTTTATATTGTAATCAGTATTAAATAATAATAAAATAAAAGGCAAGATCTTCTTGTAGAGAAAAAAAAATATAAACAAATTAAAAGGGTCAGGAGTAGGGATAGTAATCAAAAAGAAATAGGAAAAATATATTGAACAAATCAACAAATTTAATAACTACTATATTGATGTTTTACTTCTTTTCAAAAGATACAAGTTAGTAATCATTAACATCTACATTCTGTTAAGTGACAAAGAAGAAAAAAAAAAGATATAGCAGTATATAATACGAAAGATCAGAGAATACAAGAAAAACAAAATATGAATAATCATTTTAAGAGACTTTAATGATATAAGATCAAAAGAGCTAGACCAAAACAAAGAAAATTCAAGTAGAAAGCAATTCTTTTCTTTAATAAGATAGTTAGAAAACTCAAATCTCAAAGACTTATATAGAGAGAGTCATCTATATAAGAAGGAGTTCACATAGTCAAATGGAATATCTAGTACTAGAATCGACTATATTTAGGTATTAAAAGAATTAAGCCAATACAGTATAAGCTGTAAAATACATCCTGCAAAGCTTATCACGTGCAGTAATCACAAAATCATAGTCACAAAGTTAGATACTGGTATAACACAAAAAGTAAGATTAGTAGTAACTAACAAGTGACTAAAAAAGAAAAAGAGAATCCTTAAGCTAGACAAAGCACAAAATAAGAAATAGGAAAGCTACAAAACAAAATTAGAAGAAGGGATATCAAAAGATTTAGGAATCACAGATAAATTAACAAGACTTGAAGATATTTGCAAAAATAAGAATCTAGATGAGTTGTAGAATATTATATCTAATAGTATAATTAGAAGTACATATACAATACTATCAAGCCAAAAAGTTGCAGTATATAGCATCCTATCAAAGAAGACAAATGAAAGTGACAAGACCCTGAAAGACCTAAGATGCTTAAGAAAAATTTGCCATAAATTTATAGAAAAGAAAAGCTCTTAGATAAGCGAAAATAATCAATATCAAACTAACTCAGAAATAGAAGAGCTAAATCACAAATATAATCTCCAAATTAATGTACTAGTTGAAGAAAGAAGGTCAAACAAAACAGCAATTGAATATAAGAAATAGTAGAAGATCTTAAACCTCAAAGTACAACAAGAAAGAAAAAAAGAAGAAACAAGTGAAATCAATAAGCATTTTGATGCAAGATACAAAACAATACAAGGTAAACTAAAACTTATGCTTAATAGTCTGCAAAAAAGACTATTAAGAAAGATAAAAGTAGACAGAATAATAAAAATCTCAGGAGATAAAAAAATCTTACTAACAAAGAAGAAAGAAGTCCTAAGTGAAGTGAGATCTTATTTTATGAAGCAATTTC